GACTAGTGTCTCTCTCTTGTTGTGAACGGGTTAGTGTCTCTCTCTTGTTGTGAACGGACTAGTGTCTCTCTCTTGTTGAGAACGGGTTAGTGTCTCTCTCTCTTGTTGAGAACGGACTAGTGTCTCTCTCTTGTTGTGAACGGGTTAGTGTCTCTCTCTTGTTGTGAACGGACTAGTGTCTCTCTCTTGTTGAGAACGGGTTAGTGTCTCTCTCTCTTGTTGAGAACGGACTAGTGTCTCTCTCTTGTTGTGAACGGGTTAGTGTCTCTCTCTTGTTGAGAACGGGTTAGTGTCTCTCTCTTGTTGTGAACGGGTTAGTGTCTCTCTCTTGTTGAGAACGGGTTAGTGTCTCTCTCTTGTTGTGAACGGGTTAGTGTCTCTCTCTTGTTGTGAACGGGTTAGTGTCTCTCTCTTGTTGTGAACGGACTAGTGTCTCTCTCTTGTTGTGAACGGACTAGTGTCTCTCTCTTGTTGAGAACGGGTTAGTGTCTCTCTCTTGTTGAGAACGGACTAGTGTCTCTCTCTTGTTGTGAACGGGTTAGTGTCTCTCTCTTGTTGTGAACGGACTAGTGTCTCTCTCTTGTTGTGAACGGGTTAGTGTCTCTCTCTTGTTGTGAACGGACTAGTGTCTCTCTCTTGTTGAGAACGGGTTAGTGTCTCTCTCTCTTGTTGAGAACGGACTAGTGTCTCTCTCTTGTTGTGAACGGGTTAGTGTCTCTCTCTTGTTGTGAACGGGTTAGTGTCTCTCTCTCTTGTTGTGAACGGGTTAGTGTCTCTCTCTCTTGTTGAGAACGGGTTAGTGTCTCTCTCTTGTTGAGAACGGACTAGTCTCTCTCTCTTGTTGTGAACGGGTTAGTGTCTCTCTCTTGTTGTGAACGGGTTAGTGTCTCTCTCTCTTGTTGAGAACGGACTAGTGTCTCTCTCTTGTTGTGAACGGGTTAGTGTCTCTCTCTTGTTGAGAACGGGTTAGTGTCTCTCTCTTGTTGAGAACGGGCTAGTGTCTCTCTCTTGTTGTGAACGGACTAGTGTCTCTCTCTTGTTGAGAACGGACTAGTGTCTCTCTCTTGTTGTGAACGGACTAGTGTCTCTCTCTTGTTGTGAACGGACTAGTGTCTCTCTCTTGTTGAGAACGGACTAGTGTCTCTCTCTTGTTGAGAACGGGTTAGTGTCTCTCTCTTGTTGTGAACGGACTAGTGTCTCTTGTTGTGAACGGGTTAGTGTCTCTCTCTTGTTGTGAACGGACTAGTGTCTCTCTCTTGTTGTGAACGGACTAGTGTCTCTCTCTTGTTGTGAACGGACTAGTGTCTCTCTCTTGTTGTGAACGGGTTAGTGTCTCTCTCTTGTTGTGAACGGGCTAGTGTCTCTCTCTTGTTGAGAACGGACTAGTGTCTCTCTCTTGTTGTGAACGGGTTAGTGTCTCTCTCTTGTTGTGAACGGACTAGTGTCTCTCTCTTGTTGAGAACGGGTTAGTGTCTCTCTCTTGTTGTGAACGGACTAGTGTCTCTCTCTTGTTGTGAACGGACTAGTGTCTCTCTCTTGTTGTGAACGGACTAGTGTCTCTCTCTTGTTGTGAACGGGTTAGTGTCTCTCTCTTGTTGTGAACGGGTTAGTGTCTCTCTCTTGTTGAGAACGGACTAGTGTCTCTCTCTTGTTGTGAACGGGTTAGTGTCTCTCTCTTGTTGAGAACGGGTTAGTGTCTCTCTCTTGTTGTGAACGGGTTAGTGTCTCTCTCTTGTTGAGAACGGGTTAGTGTCTCTCTCTTGTTGTGAACGGGTTAGTGTCTCTCTCTTGTTGTGAACGGGTTAGTGTCTCTCTCTTGTTGTGAACGGACTAGTGTCTCTCTCTTGTTGAGAACGGGTTAGTGTCTCTCTCTTGTTGAGAACGGACTAGTGTCTCTCTCTTGTTGTGAACGGGTTAGTGTCTCTCTCTTGTTGTGAACGGACTAGTGTCTCTCTCTTGTTGTGAACGGGTTAGTGTCTCTCTCTTGTTGTGAACGGACTAGTGTCTCTCTCTTGTTGAGAACGGGTTAGTGTCTCTCTCTCTTGTTGAGAACGGACTAGTGTCTCTCTCTTGTTGTGAACGGGTTAGTGTCTCTCTCTTGTTGTGAACGGGTTAGTGTCTCTCTCTCTTGTTGTGAACGGGTTAGTGTCTCTCTCTCTTGTTGAGAACGGGTTAGTGTCTCTCTCTTGTTGAGAACGGACTAGTCTCTCTCTCTTGTTGTGAACGGGTTAGTGTCTCTCTCTTGTTGTGAACGGGTTAGTGTCTCTCTCTCTTGTTGAGAACGGACTAGTGTCTCTCTCTTGTTGTGAACGGGTTAGTGTCTCTCTCTTGTTGAGAACGGGTTAGTGTCTCTCTCTTGTTGAGAACGGGCTAGTGTCTCTCTCTTGTTGTGAACGGACTAGTGTCTCTCTCTTGTTGAGAACGGACTAGTGTCTCTCTCTTGTTGTGAACGGACTAGTGTCTCTCTCTTGTTGTGAACGGACTAGTGTCTCTCTCTTGTTGTGAACGGACTAGTGTCTCTCTCTTGTTGAGAACGGACTAGTGTCTCTCTCTTGTTGAGAACGGGTTAGTGTCTCTCTCTTGTTGTGAACGGACTAGTGTCTCTCTCTTGTTGTGAACGGGTTAGTGTCTCTCTCTTGTTGTGAACGGACTAGTGTCTCTCTCTTGTTGTGAACGGACTAGTGTCTCTCTCTTGTTGTGAACGGACTAGTGTCTCTCTCTTGTTGTGAACGGGTTAGTGTCTCTCTCTTGTTGTGAACGGGCTAGTGTCTCTCTCTTGTTGAGAACGGACTAGTGTCTCTCTCTTGTTGTGAACGGGCTAGTGTCTCTCTCTTGTTGTGAACGGGCTAGTGTCTCTCTCTTGTTGAGAACGGACTAGTGTCTCTCTCTTGTTGTGAACGGGCTAGTGTCTCTCTCTTGTTGTGAACGGGCTAGTGTCTCTTGTTGAGAACGGACTAGTGTCTCTCTCTTGTTGAGAACGGACTAGTGTCTCTCTCTTGTTGTGAACGGGTTAGTGTCTCTCTCTTGTTGTAAACGGACTAGTGTCTCTCTCTTGTTGTGAACGGGTTAGTGTCTCTCTCTTGTTGTGAACGGGTTAGTGTCTCTCTCTTGTTGAGAACGGGTTAGTGTCTCTCTCTCTTGTTGTGAACGGGTTAGTGTCTCTCTCTTGTTGTGAACGGGTTAGTGTCTCTCTCTTGTTGAGAACGGGTTAGTGTCTCTCTCTTGTTGTGAACGGACTAGTGTCTCTCTCTTGTTGAGAACGGGTTAGTGTCTCTCTCTCTTGTTGAGAACGGACTAGTGTCTCTCTCTTGTTGTGAACGGGTTAGTGTCTCTCTCTTGTTGAGAACGGGTTAGTGTCTCTCTCTTGTTGTGAACGGGTTAGTGTCTCTCTCTTGTTGAGAACGGGTTAGTGTCTCTCTCTTGTTGTGAACGGGTTAGTGTCTCTCTCTTGTTGTGAACGGGTTAGTGTCTCTCTCTTGTTGTGAACGGACTAGTGTCTCTCTCTTGTTGAGAACGGGTTAGTGTCTCTCTCTCTTGTTGAGAACGGACTAGTGTCTCTCTCTTGTTGTGAACGGGTTAGTGTCTCTCTCTTGTTGTGAACGGACTAGTGTCTCTCTCTTGTTGTGAACGGGTTAGTGTCTCTCTCTTGTTGTGAACGGACTAGTGTCTCTCTCTTGTTGAGAACGGGTTAGTGTCTCTCTCTCTTGTTGAGAACGGACTAGTGTCTCTCTCTTGTTGTGAACGGGTTAGTGTCTCTCTCTTGTTGTGAACGGGTTAGTGTCTCTCTCTCTTGTTGTGAACGGGTTAGTGTCTCTCTCTCTTGTTGAGAACGGGTTAGTGTCTCTCTCTTGTTGAGAACGGACTAGTCTCTCTCTCTTGTTGTGAACAGGTTAGTGTCTCTCTCTTGTTGTGAACGGGTTAGTGTCTCTCTCTCTTGTTGAGAACGGACTAGTGTCTCTCTCTTGTTGTGAACGGGTTAGTGTCTCTCTCTTGTAGAGAACGGGTTAGTGTCTCTCTCTTGTTGAGAACGGGCTAGTGTCTCTCTCTTGTTGTGAACGGACTAGTGTCTCTCTCTTGTTGAGAACGGACTAGTGTCTCTCTCTTGTTGTGAACGGACTAGTGTCTCTCTCTTGTTGTGAACGGACTAGTGTCTCTCTCTTGTTGAGAACGGACTAGTGTCTCTCTCTTGTTGAGAACGGGTTAGTGTCTCTCTCTTGTTGTGAACGGACTAGTGTCTCTCTCTTGTTGTGAACGGACTAGTGTCTCTCTCTTGTTGTGAACGGACTAGTGTCTCTCTCTTGTTGTGAACGGACTAGTGTCTCTCTCTTGTTGTGAACGGGTTAGTGTCTCTCTCTTGTTGTGAACGGGCTAGTGTCTCTCTCTTGTTGAGAACGGACTAGTGTCTCTCTCTTGTTGTGAACGGTCTAGTGTCTCTCTCTTGTTGTGAACGGGCTAGTGTCTCTCTCTTGTTGAGAACGGACTAGTGTCTCTCTCTTGTTGTGAACGGGCTAGTGTCTCTCTCTTGTTGTGAACGGGCTAGTGTCTCTTGTTGAGAACGGACTAGTGTCTCTCTCTTGTTGAGAACGGACTAGTGTCTCTCTCTTGTTGTGAACGGGTTAGTGTCTCTCTCTTGTTGTGAACGGACTAGTGTCTCTCTCTTGTTGTGAACGGGTTAGTGTCTCTCTCTTGTTGTGAACGGGCTAGTGTCTCTCTCTTGTTGTGAACGGGTTAGTGTCTCTCTCTTGTTGTGAACGGGCTAGTGTCTCTCTCTCTTGTTGTGAACGGGTTAGTGTCTCTCTCTTGTTGAGAACGGGTTAGTGTCTCTCTTTTGTTGAGAACGGGTTAGTGTCTCTCTCTCTTGTTGTGAACGGACTAGTGTCTCTCTCTTGTTGAGAACGGGTTAGTGTCTCTCTCTCTTGTTGTGAACGGGCTAGTGTCTCTCTCTTGTTGAGAACGGGCTAGTGTCTCTTGGTGAGAACGGGCTAGTGTCTCTTGGTGAGAACGGGCTAGTGTCTCTTGGTGAGAACGGGCTAGTGTCTCTTGGTGAGAACGGGCTAGTGTCTCTTGGTGAGAACGGGCTAGTGTCTCTTGGTGAGAACGGGCTAGTGTCTCTTGGTGAGAACGGGCTAGTGTCTCTTGGTGAGAACGGGCTAGTGTCTCTTGGTGAGAACGGACTAGTGTCTCTTGGTGAGAACGGACTAGTGTCTCTTGGTGAGAACGGACTAGTGTCTCTTGGTGAGAACGGACTAGTGTCTCTTGGTGAGAACGGACTAGTGTCTCTTGGTGAGAACGGACTAGTGTCTCTTGGTGAGAACGGACTAGTGTCTCTTGGTGAGAACGGACTAGTGTCTCTTGGTGAGAACGGACTAGTGTCTCTTGGTGAGAACGGACTAGTGTCTCTTGGTGAGAACGGGCTAGTGTCTCTTGGTGAGAACGGACTAGTGTCTCTTGGTGAGAACGGGCTAGTGTCTCTTGGTGAGAACGGACTAGTGTCTCTTGGTGAGAACGGGCTAGTGTCTCTTGGTGAGAACGGACTAGTGTCTCTTGGTGAGAACGGGCTAGTGTCTCTGGTGAGAACGGGCTAGTGTCTCTTGGTGAGAACGGACTAGTGTCTCTTGGTGAGAACGGACTAGTGTCTCTTGGTGAGAACGGACTAGTGTCTCTTGGTGAGAACGGACTAGTGTCTCTTGGTGAGAACGGGCTAGTGTCTCTTGGTGAGAACGGGCTAGTGTCTCTTGGTGAGAACGAACTAGTGTCTCTTGGTGAGAACGGACTAGTGTCTCTTGGTGAGAACGGGCTAGTGTCTCTTGGTGAGAACGGACTAGTGTCTCTTGGTGAGAACGGACTAGTGTCTCTTGGTGAGAACGGGCTAGTACCTCCGAGTACCAGATGAACGTCCGAGTGCCAGATGGACTTCCGAGTAGCAGGTGACCTTTCGAGAGCCAGATAAAGTTGAGAGTGCCAGGTGAACCTGAGCCGGTCCCCCCCTCCCCCCCTGGGTGGGGGGGGGTAATGTCAGACTGTGGGGTGGGGGGCAGGGGGGGGGTGGGGGAGGGGAGGTGTTACATAATTAAGGGTGACGGTCGGCGGGGTTCTAATCCCTGGGAAGAGCTTCCTCCCTCACCCTCCCAAGGGTGAATCGTGAATCTGACCCCCCAATGCTCCTGGGGCCAGATTCACGAAGCAGTTACGCAAGTACTTACGAACGTGTACATCTTTTACCTCAATCTTTGACGGCTTTGGTTACATTTATTAAACAGTTTACAAGCATGAAAACTTGCCAATCAACTGTTGTTATTGTTATAAACAGCCTCCTGGTGCTTCGGAGCTCATTACCTGTTTAATAATTGTAAACAAAGCCGCCAAAGATTGAGAAAAGATGTACAGGTTCGTAAGTGCTTGCGTAACTGCTTCGTGAATTTGGCCCCCTGGCCACAATTTCCTCAAACATTTACGCGACCATATACGAAACCTCTACATCTTTCTTAAATCACTACTGCTTAGTTAGCATTTATTTAACGGTTGACTTGGAACTATACGATCGGAACTACTGGCAACCATTCACCGGGTTTTCGTACGTTACTGGAACACGATCCGTTAATCGATTTACATCCATGTTCCCAATAGCTGTTAGTAACTTGGTGCGACCAGTGAAGGAACGGTGGGGTGACTCTATGGTGGGGTGACTCTATGGTGGGGTGACTCTATGGTGGGGTGACTATGGTGGGGTGACTCTCTGGTGGGGTGACTATGGTGGGGTGACTATGATGGGGTGACTATGGTGGGGTGACTATGGTGGGGTGACTCTCTGGTGGGGTGACTATGGTGGGGTGACTATGATGGGGTGACTATGGTGGGGTGACTCTATGGTGGGGTGACTATGATGGGGTGACTCTATGGTGGGGTGACTCTATGGTGGGGTGACTCTATGGTGGGGTGACTCTATGGTGGGGTGTGACTATGGTGGGGTGACTCTATGGTGGGGTGTGACTATGGTGGGGTGACTATGATGGGGTGACTCTATGGTGGGGTGACTCTATGGTGGGGTGACTCTATGGTGGGGTGACTCTATGGTGGGGTGACTATGGTGGGGTGACTCTATGGTGGGGTGACTCTATGGTGGGGTGACTCTATGGTGGGGTGACTCTATGGTGGGGTGACTCTATGGTGGGGTGACTCTCTGGTGGGGTGACTCTCTGGTGGGGTGACTCTATGGTGGGGTGACTCTATGGTGGGGTGACTCTATGGTGGGGTGACTCTCTGGTGGGGTGACTCTATGGTGGGGTGACTATGATGGGGTGACTGGTGGGGTGACTCTATGGTGGGGTGACTATGGTGGGGTGACTCTATGGTGGGGTGACTATGGTGGGGTGACTCTATGGTGGGGTGACTCTATGGTGGGGTGACTCTATGGTGGGGTGACTCTATGGTGGGGTGACTCTATGGTGGGGTGACTCTCTGGTGGGGTGACTCTCTGGTGGGGTGACTCTATGGTGGGGTGACTCTCTGGTGGGGTGACTCTCTGGTGGGGTGACTCTCTGGTGGGGTGACTCTCTGGTGGGGTGACTTGTTGTAATCCACAAGTTAGTAGGAATTATTAGCTAGAGGATCATTACTACAACACTTAACGAATGATGATTGAAAGTACATGTAAGTAGACAGACTATGGATCACATATCTAAGAAAGGTCAATGGATTAAGACCGAAGCTGTTTAGCCAAATGATTAATTCCTGGAAAGAGGAATTATTCTTCGTCAGGCTTCTAGGAACAAGATTACCTCTCTAGGGATAAGGTTAATCGGATTATACCTTCCTTGAGAGGTGGGGTGAAATGGTTGAGGTAGATGGCTGACTGGAGTCAGTCTGATTGTGGAAGTTGAACGAGCAAGTCCTTTTGGATCCCCGTTTGTGGCAGCAGCGAAGTGTAGCAGACAGCTATGCGAGAGCCTGTTGTGATCTTAGTGACCAAGTTAAGTCTGCAAAATATGTCGTGACGCTGAACCCCGGTTCATTCCGAACACCGCGATTACACAACACATAACACCTTGCCTCAGCAACCGTTACTACCACCTATACTCCTACACACACCAGACCCTTGAGGCGTACCACTAGGTTTGTACTGGAACACAATGAATGAACATATGGAAGGTATTTAAAAGCCGTCGGGTTTTGTCATTTAATTACAAAGAATAGACTCTGACAAATAATACTATATTAATTAACATACTCTATTGGTCAATACACTTCCAATACCCATAGACCACTTGACCTCCGCGATCACCACACACACTCGTAACTTCCGCCTAAGTCCCTAATACGGAATGATTACTACAACGCTCCACACCCGGTTAGTCTTACATTCAATACTCACATACTGCAGACTTAACTTGGTCACTAAGATCACAACAGGCTCTCGCATAGCTGTCTGCTACACTTCGCTGCTGCCACAAACGGGGATCCAAAAGGACTTGCTCGTTCAACTTCCACAATCAGACTGACTCCAGTCAGCCATCTACCTCAACCATTTCACCCCACCTCTCAAGGAAGGTATAATCCGATTAACCTTATCCCTAGAGAGGTAATCTTGTTCCTAGAAGCCTGACGAAGAATAATTCCTCTTTCCAGGAATTAATCATTTGGCTAAACAGCTTCGGTCTTAATCCATTGACCTTTCTTAGATATGTGATCCATAGTCTGTCTACTTACATGTACTTTCAATCATCATTCGTTAAGTGTTGTAGTAATGATCCTCTAGCTAATAATTCCTACTAACTTGTGGATTACAACAGACTCTCTGGTGGGGTGACTCTCTGGTGGGGTGACTATGGTGGGGTGACTATGGTGGGGTGACTCTCTGGTGGGGTGACTCTCTGGTGGGGTGACTCTCTGGTGGGGTGACTCTCTGGTGGGGTGACTCTCTGGTGGGGTGACTCTCTGGTGGGGTGACTCTCTGGTGGGGTGACTCTCTGGTGGGGTGACTCTCTGGTGGGGTGACTCTATGGTGGGGTGACTCTATGGTGGGGTGACTCTATGGTGGGGTGACTCTCTGGTGGGGTGACTCTCTGGTGGGGTGACTCTGGTGGGGTGACTCTGGTGGGGTGACTCTGGTGGGGTGACTCTGGTGGGGTGACTCTCTGGTGGGGTGACTCTCTGGTGGGGTGACTCTCTGGTGGGGTGACTCTGGTGGGGTGACTCTGGTGGGGTGACTCTGGTGGGGTGACTCTGGTGGGGTGACTCTCTGGTGGGGTGACTCTCTGGTGGGGTGACTCTCTGGTGGGGGTGACTCTCTGGTGGGGGTGACTCTATGGTGGGGTGACTCTCTGGTGGGGTGACTCTCTGGTGGGGTGACTCTGGTGGGGTGACTCTGGTGGGGTGACTCTCTGGTGGGGTGACTCTCTGGTGGGGTGACTCTGGTGGGGTGACTCTCTGGTGGGGTGACTCTGGTGGGGTGACTCTCTGGTGGGGTGACTCTGGTGGGGTGACTCTGGTGGGGTGACTCTGGTGGGGTGACTCTGGTGGGGTGACTCTGGTGGGGTGACTCTGGTGGGGTGACTCTCTGGTGGGGTGACTCTGGTGGGGTGACTCCCTGGTGGGGTGACTCTCTGGTGGGGTGACTCTGGTGGGGTGACTCTATGGTGGGGTGACTCTCTGGTGGGGTGACTCTGGTGGGGTGACTCTGGTGGGGTGACTCTGGTGGGGTGACTCTGGTGGGGTGACTCTGGTGGGGTGACTCTCTGGTGGGGTGACTCTCTGGTGGGGTGACTCTGGTGGGGTGACTCTGGTGGGGTGACTCTGGTGGGGTGACTCTGGTGGGGTGACTCTGGTGGGGTGACTCTCTGGTGGGGTGACTCTGGTGGGGTGACTCCCTGGTGGGGTGACTCCCTGGTGGGGTGACTCTCTGGTGGGGGGTGACTCTGGTGGGGTGACTCTCTGGTGGGGTGACTCTGGTGGGGTGACTCTGGTAGGGAGGGAGGGAGGGGAGAGAGAGGGGGGGGGGAGAGAGAGAGAGACCTCACACGTGGTGGCAGGCAGGCAGGCTGGCAGGCAGGCAGGCAAGCAGGCAGGCAGGCAGGCCGGGCAAGCAACCATGCAGGCAGGCAAGCAGGCAGGCAGGCAGGCAGGCAGGCCGGGCAAGCAACCAAGCAGGCAGGCAAGCAAGCAGGCAGGCAGGCAGGCAGGCCAGGCAAGCAACCAAGCAGGCAGGCAAGCAAGCAGGCAGGCAGGCAGGCAGGCCAGGCAAGCAACCAAGCAGGCAGGCAGGCAGGCAGGCAGGCAGGCCGGGCAAGCAACCAAGCAGGCAGGCAAGCAGGCAGGCCGGGCAAGCAACCAAGCAGGCAGGCAGGCAGGCCGGGCAAGCAACCAAGCAGGCAGGCAGGCCGGGCAAGCAACCAAGGCAGGCAGGCAAGCAGGCCAGGCAAGCAGGCAGGCCGGGCAAGCAACCAAGCAGGCAGGCAGGCAGGCAGGCAGGCAGGCAGGCCGGCAAGCAACCAAGCAGGCAGGCAGGCAGGCAGGCAGGCAGGCAGGCAGGGCAAGCAACCAAGCAGGCAGGCAGGCAGGCAGGCAGGCAGGCAGGCAGGCCGGGCAA